AGTCGTGATCTCAGGGTCCTGGGATTGAGCCCTGAGTCGGGCTCCCCACTCAGCAGGGAGTCTGCTTGTCTCCCTCTCCCTCTGGCCCTCTGCCTGCTCATGCATGGTCTCTCTCTCTCTAAAATAATAAATAAAAAATAAATAAAAATAACTAATTAGAAAATAGATGCTTTTGAAAATTTTAATATTCAAGAAACCACATCTTTATGGGACCTGTGTTCATATTTTTATTATTATTAATTTATTATATATGATTATCATTACTTTGATTTGTAATAGCCTGTCAATGGCAAAGAAATTTGTAGATAAATGTTCAAAATAAATATAACAGGGGCATCTGAGTGGCTCAGTGGTTAAGCATCTGCCTTCAGTTAAGGCTGTGACCCCAGGGTTGAGCCCCAGGTCATGTCCGCTCCCTGCTCAGCAGGGAGCCTGCTTATCCCTCTCCCTCTGCTCCCCCGCTCCCCCGCACCTCCCCCTGCTCCTGTGTGTGCATGCGCACTCTCTCTCTCTCTCAAATAAATAAATAAAATAAAATAAAATAAAACAAAATAAATATAATGGCTTAAAAAATACAAAGCTAACAATATGATTTTCATATTAATCCCCCCTAATACATTGCTCTAAGCTCTTGAGATAAATTTCTTGGCTATCAGGCAAGAGAAAGAAACAGCAGAAATAAGAGGGAGGGAGGAAAGATGGGAGGAAAGAATCCAGAAAGAGAGATACAGAGACAGAGACAGAAAACATAAAAATTAGTGGATGAACGAAAAAAGACAAATGGCTAGAGATTCAGAGGAACAGAGACGTGCACATACACACCAAGGAAGAGGAGGAGGAAGCTCTTTAGTTACAAAGGACTCAGTGTAGGAGAAAAATACAATGGAGGTAGACTCACAAAGAAGAACAAGAAAAAAATAAGCAAGAAGGGGAAAAAAGAAAAAGACCAGAGAAAGATGATCAGTAATTTTTCAAGTATTGGTGCAAAAAATTTATTCTGTTTCACAGTATCAGCCAGTGAAATTCAAAACATATAATTGCTCATTATCAAAACTACTTGAAATTTTAATTAAACTGCTAGCCAATATTCTAACGTTGTGATTTTCTCTAATCCTGGTGAAGTTGTCTTCTGAATTTGAAAATCATAATTTGCCAAGGGAAAATTACTCTTTTAGGTGCAGCTAAGGAGTCCAGAACACAATTATCATGAGGGACTGGGTGTGACATTTGGTGGATTCTCCATTTCTGTTTTAGTGTTTACCTATTGTCATAGAAGAGAAATGACCAGAAAAAAGCTATAGTTGTTAATAAGCTAGAGCTTAGCAACTTAAAATACACCAAAGCAGGAAAATTTTATTGGTAAATAACAATGCATGTGTTGTGTCTATTTGGACTTCTATTTAAGCAAAGGAGAAGGGGCTACTCAGGAGAAATAAAGGGAATAAAGCCTATTGCTGTTGGAATTCAAGGTGTCTAAAATAAAAAGAATTCTGTATGGCGCTGTAGAGATAACACTTTAATGGTAATTCATCCCCCCCAACTGAGGCAGAAGAAAAAATAAGACAAAAAATAAGCTCAGTATTTTCACATGTAGATTTTAAATATTAAAAGCATCAACAGTTATGAAGTTCTAAGATACGACATGGCCTGAAATCCTGACGAGTGGTCAAATGTTCTATTTCTTTCAGGTAAACGTGAACAAATAAGTTCAGGCAACGTAGACAGTTTAGATTTTATTTATTTATTTGTTTGTTTGTTTATTTATTTATTTACCAGAGAGAAAGAGCACGAGCAGGGGGAGCGTCAGGCAGAGGGAGAGGGAGAAGCAGACTCCCCACTGAGCAGGGAGCCCGACGTGGGGCTCGATCCCAGGACTCTGAGATCATGACCTGAGTGGAAAGCATCTGAGCCACTCAAGCGCCCCCAAAGTAGACAGTTTAAAAACAAAGGGTAAATGAAGTTTTATGAGTTCATTTGGTTTGTAGAAATTCAACTATGTAGTTATGTGTTATTTTCCTGTATGCATATTATTCTCCAGCAAATAGTCATTTTTTAATCAGATCATGTTATGTACTATTATTTTATTAATACTAAAATATTTATTAAATATCCACGTGTATGTTCTCCTCTACCAATGCCAAAGGAGGTAAAACACATAGATATAGCCCCAGTCTTGTACTTTTTTTTTCACAATTAGATAACGTATGTGAAGAGAGACATAAAACAGACCAACAGACACTTGGTGTGCTGACCACTGATTGACATGAGTGCTACATATCTTTGTATACGATAACACCACAGCTAAGTAGTAGCACCTTTTCTTTAATATCATCTGTTTATACTTCGTCTTTGAGTAATTGTCCATGGATCATTTAGAAGTAGTATCTGTTCAGGGGCGCCTGGCTGGCTCAGTCAGTGGGGCCTGTGACTCTTGATCTTGGGGTTGTAAGTTCAAGACCCATGTTGGGTGTAGAGATTACTTGAAAATAAAATCTTAAAAAAAAAAAAAAAGAAGAAGTAGTATGTGTTGAGAATGCCAATTATCTTTCCAAAGCTCATCAAATTAATAACTCATTATTGATGGCATACAATGTGCTCTGTCCCCTTTCTTATTCCTTTAACCCAATGTTTCTAAAACTTCAGTCTTTCGCTTACTATCTTCACAATTTTTGCAATATCATCATACCAACCGTGCTATTATTTTAAAAATAATTTTAACTCATATTCCTTTCATTGTAATACCTACTTTAACCTAGTCCTAAACATTGATATCTAGAGAGTTGCAGATTTGTTTTTTTAAAAAGGTGTGTCTAGGTATCCTCAACTAAAATAATCACGTGAGCCCCCAGAGATATGCTAACCATACTTGAATAACCACACTGTTAAGTCAGCTTTGCTATCACCTAGCAAGAATGATAAATGTACCAACATAGAATCCTGCCCTGCAGAACATAAGCTGCTCTATCTTCTATCTCAAAAGGTAGTCTTATTTTTTGTAATCTAAGTAGACACATTCCAAGATACACATAGCAAAGAATATGTAAAGAAATCTGAGCTTCTTAATTTAACTATTTCACAGATCAAAATATCTCTTAAAAATTCATCTGTGTTTTTCTTTAAAGTTCTTCAGATTGATTTAGTAATTATTGATATTTACTCTGATAATAATGACACAAATATATTGCTGTCTCTTAATTTTCAACATGCAGAACAGTGTAAATCAAACAGCATTCGTGGAGTTTAAATAATAAGGAAAGAATTGGATCTGAAGAATAAATGAGGCTCTCTTTGCTCATTTGTTCAAGAAGTGTCTACTGAATGCATATTATGTGCCTGCCCTTTTTCTAGGTGCTAAAGATGCATCAATAAAAAAACTTAAAAATTGATAAAACCACTGTAATCATGCATACATAAGAATTACTGTAGTACAAAATTTTATGGAAAAGTTTTAAGATACACATTTGTCTTTGATATACTCCCACCACTGTTTTTTAGTATCTCATCCCTTAATTTTGAAAATCTCCAAATTCTTTATTAATATTTTAATTCATATTTATAATTATTAAAAATATTCTCAGCAAGACTATGGACTCTGAGAAACAAACTGAGGGTTCTAGAGGGGCAGGGGTGGGGGGATGGGTTAGCCTGGTGATGGGTATTAAAGAGGGCATGTTCTGCATGGAGCACCGGGTGTTATACGCAAACAATGAATCATGGACTACTACATCAAAAACTAATGATGTAATGTATGGTGATTAACATAACATAATAAAAAAATATATTCTCAGCATTTGTGTATAATAAAATATTTCTAACCTATAGAAAAGTGCAGACAATAATATAAAACTTTATTCTTCCATTTGTTCAGACTAAAAACATTGGGGTCACTGATTCCTTTCACTTACTATGCTTCATAATTACTGCAATATCATTGTACCAACTATGTATTATTTGAAAACATACTTTAAAATTGATTCATTTTCCTTTCATTCTAATACCTACTTGATTCCTCACCTTTACTAACATCTCTAAAATTATGTTGAATGTGCCTTCAAATTATATCCGGAATCTACAACTTCTCATCATCCCACTGCTGCCATCTTGGTCCAAGACACCATCATCTGTTGCCTGAATTATTACAATAGCCTCAGAGTGGATCTGCCAACTTCTGCCCTTGCCCTCCTCCTCATGCATAGTGTAGCCTCAACACAGCACCCAGAAGAACCTGTTAAAATGTAAGGCAGATAATATTCTTCCTCTGCTCAAATCACAACCATGAATTATCATCTCATATAGAATAAAAGCCAGAGCTCTTAATATTCTATTTCTACAAGTTGTCTTTTTGTAGGTAGTTATTTCATTTTCACTGTTAGATGATATCCTCTAGTAAGAAAATAACTCATATTATTAATCTACTCTTTTATCTATGGACATTTGGGGGCCTTTCATTTGCTTTGCTATTATAAATAATGCTGACATAAGAAATGCTAAAGGAAAGGGGCGCCTGGGTGGCTCAGTCAGTTAAGTGTCTGCCTTCTGCGCAGGTCATGATCCCAGTGTCCTCTCTGCTCAGTGGGGAGTCTGCTTCTCCATCTCCCTCTACCCCTCCCCCTTGGCTGTACGCTCTCTCTCTCAAAGAAATAAAATCTTTTTAAAAAAATTAAGGCTATATTTATTCAGTTTCCTAGCAATTACATTCTTAGGTATTTACCCAAGAGAAATGGAAATGTATGCTTATAATCTGACTTGTACAGAATATTTATGCAGATTTATCTATAATAACCCCAAATAGAAACAATCCAGTGGCCATCAGTGAGTGTGATATACAATAGAAGATTAATTAACAACAAAAATGAACAAACTGCTGTTAAGGCAAAAAACGGATGAATCTGTAGGGGCAAGAGCAGGCTGCCCTAAGATAGGCAACTTTGGCATGGAAATTATCTTGACTTAAAAGCAAAACCCAGTTGTTTTCAGAAAACAACCTCCTCGGACGCTGAGAGGCAGGTTCCGAGGCTGCAGCACCTGGCCGGGTCTGGGTGACAGTGGCCCGCAGCTCCCGCGCGGTTGTCCAGGACAAACCAGAAACATGGGAAAACCAATGGAAATGTTTTAAAGTACTTCTCTTTAATCACTTTTGTATCCAGCTTCCTTTGATCTGTGGAACTTATTATTTTACAGAGTATTTTAATATACCTTATGATTGGGAAAGAATGCCAAGATGGTATCTGCTCTTGGCAAGATGCTTTGGCTGCGCAGTGATTGAGGATACCCGGCACTATTTCCCGCATAGGCTCTTCCATCACGAAAGAATATATAAATATATTCATAAAGTTCATCATGAGTTTCAGCCTCCATTTGGAATGGAAGCTGAATATGAACATCCCTTGGAAACTCTGATTCTTGGAACTGGATTTTTCATTGGAATCATGCTCTTATGTGATCACGTCATTCTCCTTTGGGCATGGGTGACTATTCGTTTGATAGAAACTATTGATGTCCATAGTGGTTATGACATTCCTCTCAACCCTTTAAATCTGATCCCTTTCTGTGCTGGTTCTCGGCATCATGATTTCCACCACATGAACTTCATCAGAAACTATGCTTCAACATTTACATGGTGGGATAGAATTTTTGGAACAGACTCTCAATTTATTGCCTACAAGGAAAAGATGAAGAAGATTGAGAAAAAGACTGAATAAATATCTAAACCTTCCTGAATACACACACTTTCCTGAATTGAAGCGAGTAGCTAACGTTGCTTCTGCGGAGCAGAAATAAACAAGTGTCTTGGCTGTTAAGTGATACAAAGAACATTAACAACCTTTAATTATCTTCCTAGTGGGAACTTTTTCTACCTTACCTAAAAGTTCTGTATGTGTAGAAATAAGTATATATTTAAGTACGATTTTCATGAGGAAGTTGTAAAGGCCTTGTTGCTAACCTTACAGAAGGGTTTTAAGTAATGGAAAAAGTATTACTTTCTGTCTTTCCCCCCAGTGATACCATAGGCTTGAAGTTGAAATTGGTCTTTAAAATCTTTTAAATATATAGTGGCCATTTCAGAAACTCTTAGTAGGGTGCTGGCCTCATATTGAACTTTAAACATTTTTTAGAATTTGCCTAAACATCAAAGTATCATGGGTTGAACCATATCAATTGACAGTGGGTGAGGCTGCCGAATCAGGAATAGCCAGTACCAAGAACTTTACTCTTGTCCTGAGCTGACCGGTTTGGGGTGAGTCTCTTTCTTTGAGAAGTCTTTTAGGATTGCACTGTACTACTGATATCTATAAATTAAGGCATTTCTGAATGGTTGTAAGTGGAATTTTTAGTCCAAAGGTTTTCGGGTTACTTGAATTTTTTTAAAAATTGAGCTTTATTTCTGCTATTTACCCTTTCCTTTTTGTATTTCAAGTTTTCATTATACTTAAAACTATCTTGAAACGTGAACTGACTTGCTGTATTTGCACTTTGAACTATTGAAATAAATGTGATTTTTTTTTTGTCTGGAAAAAAAAAAAAAGAAAGAAAGAAAACAACCTCCCCCCTCAACTACCTGCCTGTGCCAGGAAGAGAACTATTAACAGAGATTCCTCTTTACCTAAGAAACTTATCTGCAGAACAGGGCAACCTTTATTTTCCAAACATCTCTCACCTTCCTGCTAATGGTCTTCCTTTCCTTTGTATACCCAGACCTCTACCCCTCTCCTTAGCTCAGATAAACTTCATGTTGCCTGACTGTGGAATTCCATGTCTATGTGGATTCCCTATACCTTTAAAGGTAAATTTGATTTTCTGTGTGGATTCTGTATACCTATGAAGGTAGATTTTATTTTCTTCCTATACCTATGAAGGTAAATTTTATTTTCTCCTGTTAATCTGTTTCATGTCAATTTGACTCTCTTAGTCCATCTAGAAGGACCTTGAGGAGTAACAGAAATTTATTTTCCCCCAACAAATCTCAAAAACATTCTTTTCAGGGAAAGAAGCCAACACAAAAAAATGTATACTATATAATTTCATTTATATAAATTCTAGAACAAATAAAACCAGTCTATGCTGATAGAACTCGGAACAATGGTTGCCTGGAGGAAGGAATTGACTACAAAGAGGTACAGGGGAATTTTCTGGAGTTATGTAAATGTTCTATATTTTGATTGTGGAAATGGTAGCACATGTATATATGTTCATTAAAACTCATTGAACTGGGGCACCTGGGTGTCTCAGTCAGTTAAGCATCCAACTCGTGATTTTGGCTCAGGTCCTGATCTCATGGGTCTTGGGATTGAGTCCCACGTTCAGCTCTGCACTCAGTGGGGAGTCTGCTTGAGGTTCTCTCTCTGCTCCTCCCCCATCTCACTCTCTCTCTCAAATATATAAATCTTAAAAAAAACCTCATCGAACTGCACACTTAAAATCTGTGCATTTTATTCTAAACATTACTCCTCAATAAAGTTTATTTTAAAAATAATACTACTAGAAACATATAGGAGTCATTTTTTAAAAAAGATTTTATTTATTTATTTGAGAGCGTGAGAGAAAGAGAGACTGAGCACAGGGAGAGGGAGAGGAAGAGGGATGAGCACACTCCCTGCTGAGTGTGGAGCCCGACAGGGGGCTGGATCCCAGGACCCTGAGATCATGACCTGAGCTGAAATCAAGCTTGGGACACTTAACTGACTGAGCCACCCAGGTGCCCTGGTACATACACAGTTTTGTCCATATCACATATGCGTACATTTTGTGCCGGCTCCAGATACGCACGGTATACCCAGACATGGAACTCTTCTGTCTTAGAGTTTGCAGATGTTTGTTTTACAAGATAACGTGAGACTGATCTTCAGAACAATTTTACCAACTGGCACTAGCAGTGTGTAAGAGTTCCTGTTGATCTACATCTTCATTAGCACTTGGTATTTTCTGACTTCTTAATTTTTCCAATAGGTAGTGGGTAAGAATGTTACCTCACTATGGTCTTATTTTAAATTTTAAATTTTGATTAGTAATATGGTGGAATATTTTTTCCCACTTATTGACGATTTGTGTTTTCTCTAAAGTTACAGTTCAAGTATTCTATTTGTCTACTATTTCTCATTGACTTTGTAGAAGTTCTACATGTTGTTAACCTTTATTTATTTATTTATTGAGAGAAAGCGAGTGCACATGTGAGTGGGGGCAATTGGGGGGGAGAGGGGAAGAGAGAATCCCAAGCTGGCTCCATGCCCAGTGTGGAGCCTGATGAGGGGCTTGCCCTCATGCCCCTGAGATCATGCCCTGAGCCAAAATCAAGAGGCAGATGCTTAAAGCAACTGAGCCACCCAGGTACCCCCATGTTGTTAACCTTAAAAATAAAACTTCCAGTTATTTTTTTTTACCAAAAGATGAGTTTTTTCAGCAGTAGCAAAGAATTGTGATCTGAGACAAGCTAGCTATGGCAAAGTGCATAGCCAAGCCCAACAAACAAAGGAGAGGTAAGCTCTTTTATAGAGGAAAGGGAGAAGTTGGGAAGGCTGTTATAAACAAAAAGTCCATTAACATTAATTGGGAATGGGAAGTATAGTAGTTTTTCATTGGCTGAGTTCTGACAGTCTCTCATGAGCTGGGCTGTTGCTAGGGAAGGAAGATAAGCCTTTCTAACTCCTGCGGGGATAATAAAGTAGTATCCACCTGCAAAGTCCCTCTCTTCCTTTGGGTCTGAAATTGACGAGTGGTAGGGCATGAGAGCTCCCCCTACAGAACCTTCTGACTCCATTTTAGTAGTTTCCCCTTAATGTTCACAATATATTCTGGATTCTTGATCTTTGTCCGTTATATGTGCCAAAAATATCTCCTTTCTGTGATTTGTCTTTTCAGCCCTCCCTTTTCTAATCTTTATTTTTTATTATTTTTTTCCAGTTTTATTGAAAACTAATTGACATACATTACTGTATAAGTTTAAGGTGTATAACATGATGGTTTGGTTTATATATATCGTGAAATGATTACTGCAATATGTTTAGGTAACATCCATGTTCTCATGTAGATACAATAAAAAGAAAAGAAAAAATGAGAAAAGTGTTCTTCTTGTGATGAAAACTCATTTTTCACTCCTTTAGTATAAGTGTATTTTAATGAACAGTTCTTAATTTTAATGTGGGTTTTTTTTTAATGGTTAATGCTTGTTGTGCCTTCTTTAAGAAATCATTTTATATCCAGATATTATAAAGATAATTTCTATTTTCTTTTTTTTTTATAAATTTTATTTATTTATTTGACAGAGAGAGAGAGACAGCAAGAGAGGGAACACAAGCAGGGGGAGTGGGAGGGGGGGAAGCAGGCTTCCCACTGAGCGGGGAGCCTGATGCGGGACTCGATCCCAGGACCCTGGGATCATGACCTGAGCTGAAGGCAGACGCTTAACGACTGAGCCACCCAGGCGCCCAATAATTTCTATTTTCTTCTGAAAGTTTAAAAATTTTTGGTTTTCACATCAAATCTTTAATCCAGTTATCTTAGTGTGTATAAGGCCAAGTTGTTATAGAAAGAAGAACCCAAAATAGAGGGCTTAAATAATATAGACATTTTTATTTTTCAAGTAACAGCTCCAAAGTAAGCGTTTTAGCCTGGAGACTGGTTTTGCTTTATGTGATCATTCAGAGACCCCAATCTTGATGATGTCTCTGCCAAGGGTAGTTTGCTGATTGCCATTACATGAACAAGATACATCCTTCCACTTATTTAGGTCTCCTGGAATTAATAACTGTAGAAAGAAGACAGTAGGGAACAAAATGGAAGAGATAGCATGAATAGGATCTAGGGACCTGGAGGAGGGGCTCCCACAGGCTGTGCTCAGTTCTCTGCGACCACTGCCTACCTATGATCTTTGTTAGGCACCATGGAACTGGTTCTCGGATGCCCCACAGCTAGGGCTCTGAGGTTTAGAGGAGCATTCTGAGATTGGTGTTGGAACTTCTAGGAGGAAGGTGCCAAGTGGTTGAAGCTGTGAGTGCCAAACAGCAGCAGAAGGCTGGAGGTATAGCTGCCCTCATGCTGCTGGAGGGATCTGATTGGAACCGGAAACAGGAAGCAGGAGCTTCTTCGCCCCTTCTCCTGCCTTCCTATCTCCATCTCCCACTGACAAAACCTAAGAGAAACCTCCTGGCAGTGGGACAAATAATGCTGCAGTGGAAAACCTTGTGCATGTTTTGTTTTGTTTTTGTGGAACTTCTTCCTCCAGGCAAATTCTTAGTGGGATTATATGTAGCTTTTACGAGATATTGCCAACTTTTTCTCTATATGGGATTGGACCAGCAACATATAAAAACAATATCCTTCATACATATCAAACAATAAAAGACTTAATGTAAAACTAAACCCTGTTTACAAAAGCAACAAAAAATAAAATACTTAAGGGTAGACTTAACAAGAAACAAACTTTTCAGCAACAATATACAAGAGTGTTTTTCCACAGAGACACATGAACAGAGTACATTGTCAGACTTTTGAATCTTTGCCAAACTAATAGGTACTAAATAATTTGGATTTCTCTTATGAAGTTGGACATTATTTCGTATGTTTGAGATCCATTTATATATCTTTCCCTGTAAATTTTCTGTTCATGTGTTTTGACCATTTTTTTCTATTGGATTTTGGTGATTCTACTCATTTTTATTTTTATTTATTTATTTATTTATTTAAATTTTTAAAAAAGATTTTATTTATTTATTTGAGACAGAGAGAATGAGATACAGAGAGCATGAGAGGGAAGAGGGTCAGAGGGAGAAGCAGACTCCCTGCCGAGCAGGGAGCCCTATACGGGACTCGATCCCAGGACTCCAGGATCATGACCTGAGCCGAAGGCAGTCGCTTAACCAACTGAGCCACCCAGGCGCCCTCTACTCATTTTTAAACATACATTATGGTAATTAGCCCTTTACTTGTCATATAAATAGCAATATTTCCTCCCAGTTTGTCATTGTTTTCTGACTTTGCCAATCAACTTGACTTCAGAAAACAAAACAAAATCACATTAGTACCATTATGCATCTCCTTACATATAGATGTTAATTTTGAGGAAAATTGACATCTTTTTTATTTCCTTTATCCAAGACCAAGGAATCCTTTTCATTTGTTCAAGGCTTTGAAAAAATGAGTTTTTAAAAGATTTTTCTCATATAATATGTTTGTATGTTTCTTCTTCCCCTGACCCCCTGGAAACCACTGATCATTTTACTGTCCCCATAGTTTTGCCTTTTTTAGGATGTCATATTGTTGGAGTCATATAGTATGTAGCCTTTTCAGATTAGCTTCTTTCACTTAGTAACATGCATTTAAGTTTCCTCTGTGTCTGGGTGGCTCAGCTGGTTAAGCCACTGACACTTGATCTCAGTTCAGGTCTTGATCTCAGGGTTGTGAGTTCAAGCCCCATGTTGGGCTCCATGATGCTGGGCATGGAGGCTACTTAAAAAAAGAATTTCCTCCGGGTGCCTGGTGGCTCAGTTGTTAAGCTTCTGCCTTCGGCTCAGTTCGTGATCCCAAAATACACCTAAAAGGGGCGCCTGGGTGGCTCAGTCATTAAGCGTCTGCCTTCGGCTCAGGTCATGATCCCAGGGTCCTGGGATCGAGCCCCGCATCGGGCTCAGCGGGAAGCCTGCTTCTCCCTCTCCCACTCCCCAGGCTTGTGTTCTCTCTCTCCCTCGTATCTCACTGTCAAATAAATAAATAAAATCTTAAAAAAAAAAAAAAGAATTTCCTCTGTGTCTTTTCATGGCTTGATAGCTCATTTCTTTTTAGCACTGAATAATATTACATTGTCTGGATGTACCACAATTTATTTATCTATTCATCTACTGAAGGATATCTTAGTTGCTTCCAAGTTGGCAATTACAAATAAAACAGCTATAAACATCCATGTGTGTCTATGTATGGATAGACGTTTTCAGCTCATTTGAGTAAATACTAAGGAGTAGGATTGCATAATTTTTAAAAATATGCTTTGGGATTCTGCTGCTAATATTTGACTTAGAATTTTTTATATCCATATCCATAAGTGAGAGTTGAACAATATTTGTCATATTTTGATATTGATGTTATACTGGCTTTAAAAAACCAATTTGGAATGCCTTTTTCTTTTAAAATGCTCTGAAACAATGTATGTATCATCTAGGTATCAGATCTTTAGGGATTTAGAATTTCTTTGTGAAACCATCTGAGCCTGGTACTTTTTCGTGTGGATAGTTATTGGATATCCTTCTTTATTTCTTCTAATAAAATTGGTTTGTCCAGGCTTTCTATATTTAGTGGGATTAATTTTGGCATATTGTAGTCTAATACTATGAAAATAATTACATAATACCATGTCACTTTCTGTTTTAATGACTATCTCTCTTATTGTTTCTTATTTTGAAAGTTTATGCTTTCTTTCTGGATTAGGTTTATTAGTGGTCTGTCATTAAAATCTTTTTTTTTTTCAAATAGTCAGTAGGTTGATTTATTTATTAGTCTATTGGTTCTCTGTATTCAACCGCATTGATTTCTGTTTTTAATCTTTATTTTCTTCCTCCTACTTTTCTTTGGTATAGCTTTTTTTTTTTTAACAATATTTTTAAAAAAGATTTTATTCATTTATTTGTCAGGGAGAGAGAGAAAGAGCACAAGCAGGGGGAGCTGCAGGCAGAGGGAGAAGCAGGCTCCCCCCCTGAGCAAGGAGCCCAAAACAGGACTTGATCCCAGGACCCCGGAATTACAACCTGAGCCAAAGGCAGATGCTTAACTGACTGAGCCACGCCGGTGTCCTTGGTATAGCTTTTTGAGTTAGAAATAGAATTCACTTATAATTATTCTTTTGTTTTCATTATATAAATATTTGAAGGCTGCAAATTTTCCCCTAATCACTGATTTGTTTTTTTATAGATTCTGATGTATATTGTTTCTATTATATATTTTTTTGTTTTTAGAAATTATGAAATTCAATTTGTATACTAGTTTTTATTTCATCCAATACTTCTTTAATAGTACACTTCAAAATTTTTAGGTGGAAAAGATTGCTTGTTTTCTGATTTTGTTATCAATTTTTAGTATTATTATATGTTTATTACTATTATTGTTTAATTAAAATACTATTTGCATTATTTCTAGTTCTGTTTTGGAGAAGTGACACAGTACAAAGTCAATTTTCATGACCAAGTCCATATGTGTTTGGGAGGAAAGAATACTCCCTATTTTTGAGGTGTAAATTTGAATATATCCATGAGACCTACTTTATTATGTTGTTAGATTTTTTTATATCTCTAATTTGATCCATTAGACCTTCATTGGCTTGAACGAGATGCTGATGTCTCTTATTTTTATTGTATTTTATTGTAAACTGAGCAGTATGATTAATTCAATGTTTTGCATTTGAGAGTAAGACAAACAAGATATACAACAGGATTCCTCTAAATGATACATTTATTTCTGCTAAAAACTTCTCTAGGTTCTAATCCAGGGGCTGCCAATACTAGTTTTATGTCATTAGGCAAATATTTTATTCTTAGGCTTGTCTGTCTTCTTTGTAAAATGAGGTGAGTTATGGGATATATTTTTTATTTTATTTTTATTTTTTATTTTATTTTATTTTTTTTTAAGATTTTATTTATTTATTTGAGCGAGAGAGAATGAGAGACAGAGAGCATGAGAAGGAGGAAGGTCAGAGGGAGAAGCAGACTCCCTGCTGAGCAGGGAGCCCGATGCGGGACTCGATCCCGGGACTCCAGGATCATGACCTGAGCCGAAGGCAGTTGCTTAACCAACTGAGCCACCCAGGCGCCCTGGGATATATTTTTTAATCCAATACTATATCAATACAATAAAAGCGCTTTTGAAATAATACCTGTTGTTACTGACTGAAATTATTGCAATAACAGCGATTATTTGTTAAGTGCTTCCTGCCTGCCAGGCTCCATGCATAGCACTTTACATATATGTTTTCACTGAATTGAGGCATATTTGTTTTAGTTTTTCATCAAACCCTAGAA